TATTTTACAATTATTTATATTCCAATTGATTTTTGTTAAAAATATTTATATTATTTGTCTTAATAATAATATATTCTTATAAATATATATTCTTACTATATAATATTAAATTTTAGTTGCTATTTATATTTTTATTTTAAAATTGCGTGTGTACGTTACATTGAAATATTTTTTATTTAAAAATTCTAGGATAAAGCTACAAAGAAAATGGATAGCGAATCAGACATTTATCGTGAGTTGTGTGATAATCCAACATTATATGTTTCACCAAGAGAACTTTTCGAAGTTATGTTACCTAATGATGGTACAGTGTAAGTTTTAAAAATTTTTTAATATTTAATTTTTTATTCATAATTTTTTATTCATATTATTACTTATTCTCACTATTTCAGTATTATCGTCAAATTTGTAAAATTCTGTCAGTTTAAGAATAAAACTATATAATAGTAGCATAAAATCATATAAATGTAATTGATGTATAAAAGATACATTTATTAAAAATTTTATTGAACTTTTAATTATTTTTTTATTTTTTTAATAAATATAAAATATTAATTGTTTATATATATATATTTTTTAAGGTGTTTTATCAGTATGGTGGAACAAATCGACAGTACAATTGCTGTTAAAACTAAAAATGGTGAAGTTCAACGTTGTCGAGTAATTTTGACAAATAATAAAGACTGGAAGGTTCAAGTTACTATATGGGGCAATAACATAAATCGAGTTATACATAACTTTAAAACATCATTTGTAAGTTTTTATCACAAAATTAAAATCATTTTATTACAAATGTTTACAACATAAATTAAGACATTATTTTATATATTTGTTATTACATAAAATATTAACTGTTCTTAAAAAATCTTTTTATAAATAATTATAAAATGTAAAAATCAACATAATTTATAAATAATCTTACAATAAAATAAATAATTAATTTTATGATGTCAATTCTATAAAAAATTGAGATAAAATTATTAATAAAAATATTCTATAAAAAATGTTTTTTTTAATAAAAATCATTAATAATAAAAATTAATAACAAAACTAAATTTTAACATTTAGAAATAATGTTAATTTACTGTTAGTAAAATATTACAAATAAAAAATCAATTTTATAATTTAAAAAATTATTTACAATTGATCAATTAATTTTGATAACAAATTTTTTAATGTAAATTTATGTTTTTATCTTGAATATAAAAAACTCATATAGGAAAGTTTAAGTTTTATAATAAATAATGTAAAATGACTTTACAAAACACATTTTTTGTTAAAAAATCATTTTCTAATTATAAGTTATAAATATTGTAAAAGAAATTGACTTTTGTTAAATATTTATCTCATTATTTATTTCATTATAAATAATTTTAAAATGTATGTATGTATGTATACATAAAAACATTTCTTATTACAATATTTATAACTTATAATTTTAGAAAATTCTTTTTTAGCAAATATGTTTCAAAGTCATCTTACAACAATTGTTGCAAAATTTAAACTTTTCTATTGATGAACATTTTTAATAATAAATTTCATAATTAATAAGTATTTTATAAAATTAATAATTATATTTTTTATATGTATATAGGTGGTACATGTATCCGGAGCTTTTTCTCAAAAACGTTATTCTAAGAGTTTAGGAAATGTCCCTATGGATTTAACTATCAAAGATTATACAGTTGTGAATGTCATTGGAAAAATTCGAGAATATGAGGAAACTAAAATTTATGAACCAGTTACTATTCAAAACATTTTAAATTCTAAAACTCAATATGGTAATTATACATATACTCTTTATTTGAAATTATATACGTATATATACATACATGAAGTTTGAATTAATATATTTCCACCAAGTTTTTTATTAATTTCACGATATAAAATCAAGTTTTTTTTATTAATTTTACAATATAATAAAAATTTTTCTCATAAAAATAAATTAATAAAAATTAATTTTTGGCAATAAAGTAACTATTTAAATTTCATCTATACCTGATAGAATCCTTTCAATTTATACACATACACACACACACGCACACGCACACGCGCGCGCACACACACACACACACACACACGCACACACGCACACGCACACGTACTTACGAGTATGCGCGCGCGCGCGCGCACTTATACGCACACTTATACACACATATACATGTTTATATATATATATATATAAACATGTGTATGTGTGTATAAGTGTGCGTGTGCGCGCGCGCGCATACTCGTAAGTACGTGTGCGTGTGATTTATTTAGTTACACCCTGTATATATATATATACTGGGTGTAACTAAATAAACATATATGACATATAATACCGAATTCTCTGGCCAATTTGGAAATCATTTTTCCTCAGCGAAAATGTTGAGAAGTCGATAATTTTCGAGTTAAAGCGATTGAAAAAAACGAGTTTCTCGCAAACTAAACTTTGTAGAGTTAAATGGTTAACATAATTATATTCTTCAGTTAATTTCAAGTGGAGTTTACTTTAATAAAATTTTAATTTAAAGCTTAGTTGCAAAGATATATAATAATAAAAATTGGAAGTTTGTAAAAATTGATGACCTTTCTCGACATCTTCACTGAGGAAAAATCGTTTCTAAATTGGCCAGAGAATCTAACACTATCATATATGTTATTTCAATTACACTCTGTATATATATATATATTATATATATATATATATAATTTCTTGTTGATTGAGAATGTCTCAAATGTCAAAATTATACCGGGTACCATATCCGATGAAGATCTTGCGAAAGCAGCATTTCTCCCCAGAAAAAGAAAGTTCAATAATGATTCAGAAATGGTAAACTTTTTATTCAAAACAAAATAAAATAAAAATTTAAGCATTGGTCTAATCTATAACTTTTGAATATAATATAAAGTTTTATTTGAATAAAAATTAAACTAATTAATTTAATATTTTATTTATAGGATTAAATCAAAAGCTTTAACCTACAAAACATTATAAAATTGTTAAATTTGTAAGTATAGAAATTTTTTATTTTTAATAAACAAATTGATTTATTTTTATTTTTTATTCATATCTTTCTTTTTTTATTAAATATTATTTATTAAATATTTTGTTTTAAATTTTTTAATTAAAATATGATTTAACTTATGAAGTGTATAATTAAAATTTATAATCTAAAAGAAATATATTAAACAAAAAAGAATATTTAAAGTAAATATTATACATAAACAAAAGTAAAAATACTATATAACATTATTTTTTTTAATTCATATATCACAATACATATAAATATAAATACTATATTTATTAAATATTTATTTATTAGTCTATAGTTATTTATTTATAAAGTTTGTAATTAAGAATTCTTAATAAAAATATTACTTTAATTTAGTAAAATAAAATTAAAATTAAAAACTTATTAATATTTATTTGTTTCTAAGTATCTTTTTTCCTTGATTTTTTCCAGGAAAGACAAATATTTTTTTTTTTTAAATTATTTCTAAGGATTCTTTTTCTAGAAGAAAACATCAATTTTTAAAGTAAATAACTAAAAAAAATTAAAAATATTTTGTTTACAAAGAAATTTTGGAGCACCTTGTAGAAAATGATATAATTTTGTAAGTTACAGCTTATTAATAATTATAACATTGATCATAACTATAGAATTAAATTTACACACACAAATACACACGCACACACTAACATATGCACATACTTTACCTATACTACATACATATTATACACATGTATACATTATATACTTATTGATAATAATATTAAAATTTTAGTAATAATTTATGATCATAAATTTTAACCAATTTAGATATTTTATTCCTAATTAACAAAATATTTCAAAATTTTATTAATACAATTAATTTATTTTATAAAATAACAGGTTATAGCAGTTCAACATTTTAAATCAGATCAACCGAAAACCAAAAGGAATGGTAGAAACGCATCTTTATAATTTTATTATGAACAACAGTGAAATTATCATTCAAATTGCTGCCTGGAATGATTGAGCTTTTAAATATACATAATAACTTAAACAAAAGTAAGATATTTATATAATATTATAATAAAACATTTATAAATTAAAATAAATATTACATTAAAAACATTTATGTAATTATTTGTTATATTAATTAAAATCAATTATTAAATTTAAATTATTAATACAAAGTTTACCACTATTTATTGTGCCTATTAGCATTTATAAAATAATACTCTATGTAACAAAAAAAGCCGCGCCTAATTTCTTATTATAAATATTTTTAGAAATAAAGAATATAACGTAAAATTTGGACAAACATAATGTAAATATATAGGTATAGAGAAACTGTGTCATTATTTTCATTATTTTAATATATTAATGTGGAATAATATTATTAATTAAATTCTATATTATTAATTTTATTAATTACAATTAAAGTTATTCATATTTATTTGTTTTTAACTTTCTATTGTTTTTCAAGGAAAAACAAATATTTCTTTTTTCATCGTTTCTAAGGAAAAAAAAAGACGCTAGCAAAAAACCGTAGAGCATTTCTTGTGTGTATCGACTCCAAGACGGTTGTGTAGTACATTCATTTTCTTTTTAACGTAAGTATTAAAGATTATTATGCTGAAAATATCAGTATCAAAATTAATAAATTCTACTTTCACAGAGCAAAATTTTGGTATAAAACTCAATGTTGAACATTATTTATATTATTAATGTTAAGGACCGTCAACACTTTTATTAAATTCGAGTCTATCTATTCTGTAAATTTATGTCGTTCAAATTGTCGTTCCGCCAAGTCGTTCGATCTTGCTTATTGTGTCAATATTTTTAAATTACTCGCGTTATTTGTGTCAGCCTCGCAGTAACGGCTGTCCTTTGTGATTATCGTCTTAAAAATTAAATATTTTGGCATGACTCTCGTCGACAGATTCTCGTTCGCGAAAGTACCCTTCGACTTGTTTTCAACGTCTCTTGTTTATTCATTGTTCTATCACGACTTTTGCACGCAGAAAACACCTTGAAGTGTTTCCCGGTCAAACTGTTTTTTTGCTTCTTCTCGCATGGGCAAATTGAGGAGCGAACCGGCGTTCCCGCCGACTCTTTGTCAGAAGCCAACGAGAAATCATACGATCGAGATCGCGTCCGCACCTTGAGAATTCGAACAACTTGGCGGACTTATCGTTAGTAACGGGAACGCGGAACTCTATCTAAGTGTCGCGTCCGTGATACGATTCGCATCATTATATTTAATTCGGACAAAGTGAATAAATGACAGTGTTGTTAATTTGATTCAACCATGGTGCATTTATAACTCTGTTCCTCTCGCTCGCTCCCGTCTTCAATCTTCAGTCTCGCGGTCGCGGTCCACTATCATTCTGTCTCTCTCTTTCCTTCTCAACGTTCTATCACTCTGTCTCTCTCGCTCCTTCTCAACGCTATACCGCCGTCTCTCTCATCGCACATTCATCCCGCGTTCTCGCGGAGCGGAACCCGCCGCACGCGTTCACGACATTCGAGTGAAAATCCTCGAATCACGAACAATTAATAATTGTTAAAAAAGCATTTAATAATATAAACACATTAATATAGGTTTAACATGGCTTTAAAAGAAATAACAAATACCAATTTGTTTACAAAAAAAGAAATTTTGGAGGACATTATGGAAAACGATACGACTTTGTAAGTTATATTTTCTTAATGATTATGTATATTAATAATTAGTTATTATAAAGAAAATAAAAACTATAAAACTAAATTTACACACCTTGCGCGCACACAGTCACATGCATACATAAAAACACACACACACACACACACACATACACGTACACTTAAATTTTCACATGTAACATACACATTATACATTTAAATATACATAGATGCAGATACACACAAATATACAAACGCATACGCACAAAAACACATATACATATACACATTATATATTTATTTACAATTATAGTTTTATATTAAATAATTTTAGCAATAATTTATAATTTTAAATTTTAATTATATTAGATATTTTAATTTTAATCAAACATTTCCTTATTTCAATCAAATAAATTCTTTCATTATAGTGAAATAACTGGCTACGTCAGTTCAATATTTCAAATTAAATCAACCACAAGAAATGGCAAAACAACGCATCTTTTTAATTTTATTATGAGCAACGGTGAAATTACCATTCAAATTGCTGCCTGGAATGATTTAGCTTTTAAATATGCAGACATAATAACTCAAACAGAACAAGTAAGATATTTTTATATTTATATAGTATTAAAATAAGATTTTTTATATATTATTATTTATATAACATTACATTTTAATATATTTATATAATATTATTTATCATATTAATTAAAACAAATTCTTAAATTGTATAGGTTTATTCTCTACAAAAAGTGGTACCTAAAATCCCTTTGAGGAAAGAATATTTACATAATGCTTCATTTCCATACGAATTATTAATCCGAAGTTTCACTATTGTCGTTCCTATTGGCATTTATAAAATACCAAAAGAAATTGAAACAATTTCTTTGATTAAAATGCAAAATGCCAGAACCAAAAGTGGTTTAATAGGTAATTTAATATTATAATCTCTCTTATATGTTAATCAATATATTTAAATTTAAAACTTTTTGATTATCCAAAATCAAATTTTAATTTTAATTGTAAATTTAATAATAATAATCAAATATAACAATATCAAACATAATAACAATAATCAAATATAACAATTTAACGATATCAAATAATAACAATAATCAAACATAACAACAATTATCAAATATAATTAAATATACTCAGTAAACACAAAGTAACTGTAACATAACATATATATTAAAAAGTCCGTTTTAATAAGATAACAGTTACGTGACATGCTCTGTTATATAACAGTTACATTATAGGAACAGACATTTTAATATATATTATGTTATTATTATTTTGTGTTTACTAACATAATCAAAAGAATTTAATTTAAGTTTTAGTAGAATATGCTTCTTTTATTTCAACTATCAATTCTGAAACATTCTGTATATTTGTTTTCATTAAAATTCCTAATTATATGAATTAATTATTATCTAAAATATTTTAATTTTCTTTTCAGAAATGGAACATCATATAAAAATGATTTTTGAAAAATCATCTAATAATCATTTTTACATTGGAGCGATTACAGATGGTTATTATAAACTGTCTGTTTTAATAACATGTAATGGAGAATTTGAAGATAATTTCACTTACGGCTCACCAATTAAAGTAATAGGAAAAATGCAAGTACCTGAAAATAAACCTCCATATCTTTCAGTTTCGTCAGTGGAAAATGTGCAATTAATTGACGGCAAAAAAATGTCATTTTTGCAAACCTTAAAAGGATATCATCCTATTCCATAAATTTTAACAAAATTATTTTCTTTACGAAGAGACAATTTGATTTTAAAAATACAAATATTTTACATATTTAAAGTAATAAATAACATATTTTAAATACTTTAAATATTTACAATAAGTAACATTATATTTTAAATATTTAGCATTATTATACGTATTATTATATGTATTTTATATTAAAATTTAATATTACTATGTTTTACTTTCTCGTTCTCATTTGCAAATAATATATATATATATATATATATATATATATATATATACGAGGTGTGTTCAAAAAGTATCGCGAATTTTGAATTTCCGCGGGTTACGTATATTCGATTTTCGATTTTTTTGTGGCGTTATATTGGTACTCATGTTTCTCATTTATGCCGACAAGTACGGCCATTTTGAATGTTCAGTTAATTTTGACAGCTGCTTTGCTTGCACGTGTTTTGGCTCGTCTTCGATTTTTGCCTATTCCAAAAAATGGATCAAAGAATCTGTATCAAATTTTGTGTGAAAAACAAAATTAAGTGCGCGGACGCATTCCGAATGTTGACTGTGGCATATGGTGAAGCTACCTTGGACCGAAGCAACGTTTATCGGTGGTACAAAATGTTTTCCGAGGGCCGAGAAGATGTGAACGACGATGAGCGGCCGGACGCCCGAGCACGTCCAA